ACCACAAAACAGTATACCGCACCAATAACACGGAAGTGAGGGAAGACGTTTCTTCGATGTCAGGCGCATGGAGAAAAAACAACCGTGATCGCACGGCAACACCAACAAGGATAACAGCAACGGTCCTCCGTGAAGTCGGGCAACACCACCGCAGCACGCAACCAACGACAAAAACAACTACCCTACTTCAACACCAACAATAGTAGCAACAACGGAAGATCCTGAGGCCCACTCACCACTACCGTCATAAACAACAGCAGCAGCAGCAGCAGCAGCAGCAGCAGCAGCAGCATTAACATTAACCACGACAACAACCAAAATCCTTGCTTACCGCTGTACGCGTGCGCGAGGTGCGTGCTTTAGCAAGGAGGACAGGACGCTGTGGCGCCTCCGGAGGTTCGAGCCCTTCTCGTTTAGCCTCACTCGTACCCCGACCAGGAAGGTCGAGAACGAAGCCACATCTTGCAGTGTCAGCTGTTACGGCGTGTACGGTGGGAGAGAGGGAGGGGGGGAAGGGGGGGGGGAGTTCCTCAGTCCCTTGCTGATTGCTTGAGCCGTTGTCCATTTCCTTGTGAAGAGACGCCTTGGGTCGATACCACCGAAAAGAAAAACATCACACCAACATGTCCAACACACTCCCACTTTTGTTCGCCCCGCTGTGAGACTGATGTCTCTCCATGGGACAGCCGGGTAGTGCGGTCTATGCTACAAACATTTCAAAGATACACGCACCTTACGCTCGACGTTGGCGCAGATGAGCTTCCGGTAAGCGTCCTGCATCTCACGCTGGATAGCCCCGTTACGGGTTGTAATGGACGACGATTCCACCTGTTGCCAAAAACAACGGCAAGCGTTGGTCCCCGGCTTGGAGAAAACAAAACCTGAACAGCGCTTGCCTCCATGCATCTCCCACCAGCTATCTCTTCTTGCAGCGAACTATGCCATTAACAGCACTTGCGGATTCCTGAAACCAATGGAAAAGGAAGTCAATTTCCCTGTATCAGGCTGTGTTGTATTCGTACTTGGGCAGCACGGCCAGCGCCATTCCGGGTCCTACCCACAGACCCCCCCCCCCAGAAAAACTCCATTGCAATACCACACCAACGTCCCGTGTGAGTGAACATCTCTCCCTCAACACAGACACGTTCCTGGCCCGGTCACGCACAAACATCTTGGTCCTCTCTGCTGCTTACATGCATGCAGAGCAAGTACCAAGGTCCCAAATCGAAACATGTCGATTTTCATTGCGTTTTGGATATTTCGATACACCCGTCAAGGCGCCCCCTATTTTGTTTGTCATCAATCAGCGCTTACGGCATTTGTGCCGCGTACTCCAACTCGTGCCCACACAGAAGGACCCTGTCCCTGAGGCGTGCGACTGATGAACCAAAACACCGGAAGCATCTCAGTTGCGAATAAAGTGACCGCCGCTGCAACAATGGGATTATTGTCCGTTTCAAAACAAGGCAGACAAGGCACATCGATCCTGCACCCCCCCCCCCTCGATACAAATATTATGGTGTGCCAATTGTACACAAATGAAAACAGCGATGTAGCGGCTGTCGGAGAGGGGGACTCTTCTACTACTCAACAAAAGACCCTGCCAAAAAGAAAACGTCGCACAACCTTAAACAGAAAGCCATGTCTCGGAGCCCCTCTGAATCTACAATATAGGATTCCCGACCGAAGAGGTCGAAATGCCACACATCGGGGGGAGGGAAGCAACAACCGGCTGTTTATGCGATGCTTGGTATTTTTCAAGGGTTTACTCGGTAACGGTTTTTTGGACGGACAGGTTTTCGGCGGTAATTGTTACAGCGATAGGCGGTGATGCATTTTTTAGCGGCAACGACTTGGCAGAGGCGGTAAAACAGAATTTCGGCTGTAATTCTTCGGCAGTATTGCCATACGGCGGCAACTGTTTTGGCGGTACATGTAGGCGGTAATACGATTTTGAACGACTGTGGTCGAGGTGGTAAAAAACAGAATTTCGGCGGTAGTTTTTTGGCGGTAGCGCCATACGGCGGCACAAGTCTTGACGGTAGGCGGTAACCAGATTGGCGGAGGCGGCAGAAACCAAAAAAATGGCGGTAACACGGCGGATTACCGGGACCGCCCAGCGCCCAGCACGGCGGTAATGATTGCCATTGCCCATGGCCACAACTTCAAGCGACACCAAACAAGGCGGCAATTGTAAGCGACAACGCCCGAAACAGACGGCAAACCACTTTGCCGCAGACTGATCATGTACCGATATTGTCGTAAAAAATAAAGCCAAACGTGCGAGTGAGTGGACCGACGTCCGTCACAAGCATTTAAGGATGCAAGGTTGCCAACTGACTGAACCCCACGATTCCATGATGGTTTGTTACGACCAGTTCCTAGTGTAGCTGGCGTGTAAGTGTTTTCGTCCTATTCTTGATGGCGACAGTCCCGCCATTTTTGTATGGAAGCCGAATATCAAACCATGCGCTGAGACTACTTTAGTCTACTGGTGAATGGTTTGTCTCGACTCCCATGCATAGACGTATGCATACGTGTCTCCCTGTCTCCCAGATAATGTTCGAGAAAAAGAGATGAAGTGAGACATGATGAAGGCGGATCATCATTACACCCAGCAGTGCCGGACCAGCGGGAGGCCACCCCCGCATGACAACCTGAAAAGTAGAGCCTGAAAAGTAGAGCCAGCCGAAGTGTAAGGTTCCCCAGAATTCCACAATATCCTCGGATTTCGCGCTCTATTCGTACGTTGTTTCACGAGCGGCATTTCTGCATTTCCCGCGGCTAAACCCGGGGCATTTATGTTCGCACCCCATCACACTCCCCTTCTTCCCCTCGCTGCCTCGGCAAGGTGTTGCGTAGGCATGACCCATAGCGAGGGGGGGGGTCTTTCTAGCGAGCAGGGCTAGACTCACCCTCAAGGGACCGATACCTTCTTGCTGCGGCGCACCCGCCGCGAGAAGTGCGTAGTGGTGGACTTGGGTCGGCACTGGTGCGTCCGGTACAAAGGTGCAGATGCGCGGGCCTCCAGGCCGTCGGTGTAGGCAGCAATTCCCATCTTTGTGCGCAGAGGCAGACACCATCAGAAAGGTGGACGGGCACTATGTACACGGCTCTAGGTTTGCTAGAGGGAGCTGTACTGTCTCAGTAACCCGGTTTTGCCATCAAAGGAGGAGGGGACAGGTGGTGACGATCTGATTGGGCTGGTTGACCCTTCGGCGCGAGAACTTTCAGACCAAGAACCCTAAATGCAACGAGGGAGAAAGCGAGGAACCGACTGGGAAGGACAAAAACGAGAGCGTGTACGAAGCGGATCGGGTCGAGTCTGGTCGTGCTAGGACTGGCCACAGCGGCACCGGAGAAGCGGCTCCGGAGCAGCGGCACCGGAGCAGCGGAACCGCATCATGCGGACGGCATCGAACCGTGGCGCATGGACACGTTTTTTTTCCTGAATATCAATATAGGTGTTCGGTGTGGTGATGGCGCGGATAACCTGGGTGCCTTGATTGTGCACCTGCATCATGGAAGACCTCTTCAATGTGGAACGATTCCTAGTCAGTGTAGATGTTTACACTACTGACTGTGCCTAACACAGATGATCTGGATAGATTCGGGTGTCAATTGCAATGATGGCTGGTTGTTCTTCATTGTATGTCCACGGACTCATTCTGACAGCACTTCAGACAGCAGCTGCATGCCCCGAGCTTGTGTACCATGCACCATGGTGTTATTATTGTACAGACAGCACTTCAGACAGCAGTACGCTGTAGTCGACATTCATTTTGGTAATGCGGGACAAGGGGGGTGATGCTGCTGCTGTAATCGATTTGTAGTGTGTGGGCGTGTAGTTCAGTTGTGAGCACGCAAACGTGCTGCAGGAATTGTAGGTGCACCTCCTCGAGCTTGTGTACCCTTTCTTTCCTTGCTAGTAGTGTGCGTGTTCTTCACATCTTCTTATGGCTCTAGCATCTTTGTGACCACGCACCGAGTCTTGATAGATTTTGGAGTTAGCAACTGACACGAGTTTAATGTGAAGAAAACAACAACAACAACAACAACAACAACAACAAGACTGGTAGACTACAGCAGCGCAACTGCATACAAACTCGCGTACATACGACACGGGCACGTTTTTTGTTTTTCGGGAAATCTCTCACAAACAAAAGCATGCTGCTGCACACCAAGGAGTGGTATTGTGCGAAACACACGCTCACAGTAAAGGCGCGCACACAGCAGCAGCGCGCACCTGTGACGTCAAGCTCTTGACAACCACCGGGTCGTCTGCGGGTATCGCCGCTCGCGTGACCGTGGAAGGTGGAACCACGTTTTTCGGTCTCCCTCCGAAGCCCGAACCAGCAGTACCAGCAGGCATTTGCCGCTGCTGCCGCTGTTGCCGCCACTGTTCGTGGGCGTCAGGTGCTGTCGATGCCGGTGCCGAAGGCTTGGTAGCAGGCTCTACACCCCATCGATACCCTGGCTCTCCGGACAAACGTCCTTCGGAGGTCGTTGTGTGCAGGTCTACTCCTCCTCCTGTTGCTGCTGCCCCAAGGTCGTCTGGCTTCCAGCTAGACGGGGAGGGCTCGCGCCCGAACGTCTCTCGCGCCATGCCCGTTGTCCCTTGGACGTGAAGCATCAGCGGGTTGAAAGGGGAGGATGTTCTTACGTAATTTCACTCCTGCGCACACCGCTCTTGCTGCGCGGTGGTGTGTGTCTTCGTGTAATCAATGTGACAATGATCCAAGCGGACAAGCGGCACGCTCGCACTCACGTAGGTACCGGGTGTGTCCGGATCGCGTGCCCCCCGGTGCATCGCGACATCGCGATCTGATCCGCTGTGTTAAGGCATGTACAGCAACACCAGCACCACAGGGAAGAGAGGGAGAAGCGACCCAGAGGCAAACCCAAGCGCTTCAACACACCAATCATGGGTCGTGGGAGAGGAAAGGGAAAACGCGGCGGGCGTGGCGGGGGCGGGCGCCAGCACTTCGTGTCCTCCCTGGAGGAGCTCGAATCCCGCAACGACAGAGACGAGGCCTGGGCGGCACGCCGAAAGGCGGAGAGAGAGGACAGCGGAGAATCCTCGGGCGACGAAACCAAGAAGAGGGACGATGACGACGGTGGAAGTGGGGAAGAAGGGAGCAGCGAAGACGAGGGGGCGCGGGGCGGTGGGGCGGCGGCGGCTGCGGCGGCTGCGGCGGGGGCAGTCGAGATGAAGCAGCCGAAGGCCAAGGGGGTATCCTCGTTGATAGAGGTGGCGAACCCAAACGCCAAGCCTAAGGCCGGGCGGATGATGAAGGCGAAGGTGAGAAAGTTTGCTCGGATCATTCTCTGGCAATGTACGGAGCGCGCTTGTGGTTGAATAAGAGGTCTTGAGCAATACTATTATATTTCCATGCGATGCGTGGAGAGGCTGGTTCCTGTCAGTGTCAGTGGTGTTCAGATGTACCCTCGTGGTGCCCCTCTGCTGCAGCCGGGTTCGCACTCTCCCCACACGAGTATGGGTGCAACACCGAGCAGCAGTTGTACCCTGTGCCGCTAGAGCACTGCTTTAGCTGTCACGTACTGCTACTTGCATCCTTGGTGGGCACAACCGTACTATATGCAAGTATGGGAGAGGCAACATTTCACAACAGTAGGCCATGATGCGCGCATCTTGGTCTTGGAGGGTACCCGCTCGAGGACTCTGTTCGGCGGTAAGTGATGTACAGAGTATCGTTTCTCTCCTACCCTCTGCTCCTCGTGTGACACAGGATCGGCATGTTCTCTGTTGTGGGAGCGCATCCCGTCTTCCTAGAAAATATAAATACGTACGCTCAACATTCACACACGAAATTCCCCCGCTTTGGGTCCTATAGCACGAGTAAGCATGATTTCGCGTACCGCCCGAAGGAAGAAGGGCTTCCTGTGCTCGCCGCTCGAAGCGAAATCAGATCGGAGATCTGTCTGTCGCGTTGTCACGAGTGGCACAACAAGAAGTGTCTTTCCCCACGCAATGTTTGGATTGCGGGGAGAACATCGAGTGTTGAGATGTGACAAGTCAACCTCAGCACCCCGAAAACATGGGACAGGTTTACCTGTGTCCTCCCGATCCTAAGCCTTGTTTTCCTACACCTGCCTTGCCATGCCGTGCCGCGGGAGGATATGGATTGTGGTAGCCTGAGGGAATAAGTTTGTGTATTCTTGAAACTTTCACCGGGGCACAGGAGTGCCTCCTGCCTGATGCACAGAATCCTTAGTCTCTGCGATGATGCGGGGTGTCGGGATTGCTATCTCGCACTATACCGCCCTAACCAAAGCTCCTCTGCTGGTCTTGAGTTGTCAAACGCGTGGCCTATACTTCGTCAACCATCAGCCCACCGCGGAAAGATCTCCATTCACTCCTCTCGCCCCTTCCGCTCCTCTGTTCGCTCATTCCTGCCACAAGAGCCACAGACAATCGCACTCTCACCGCATGCACTCCGTCATGCTCACACACAACCCATCTACAGCACCACGCTCCCATTCGCGCAGTCCTCGCGTCGTATCTAATATCCGTGCATTGGCGCAAGGCGCGTGTTCGTCACCGATCGTTCGGTAGCATTTTTCTGTGCAGGTGGACAAGGGTCGATGCATATTTGGTGCTCCTTTGTCACAGGCCTTTTGTTCCTATCGGCGCCTCGTTGAACTTTTGTCTTTTATGGCAGGATATGGATATGGCGGCGGCGCCGGTTGAGCTCTCCCGGCGCGAGAAAGAGGCGGTAGAGGCCCAGAGAAAGAAGGACCACTACATGAAGCTTCATGCGGAGGGCAAGACTCAAGAGGCGCAGGTGCACATGTGGTTTTGGCGCCATCGTCTTGTTGGAAGCAAGTTGGGTCGGGGTTTCAAGATGGAGGGCGATAAGTGTTTGACGGTTCTAATTATGTTTTCGAGGTTTCTTCAAGGCCAGAGTGCCCTTGGAGACAGGGCCAAGTTGAAGCCCAGTGCACGTTGCCGTCGTCCCCCGATGGACGAAACAGTCAAACGAACGTGGTGTATTTGTTGGGTCGTTTGTGCTTATGTGGTGATGGGATGTGGTCGTTAATATGTATCACTACTGAACAATAGATACACTTATCGAATCCCGCCATGTCGCTATGCTCTTGAAAGTTATGGGGGTGAAAGCACCAAACAGTGCACAAGTGTGGCATACCGCAGTAAGGATTGTTAGCTTAATTCATGCAAGCATCAAGTAGAAACCACGAAATCCAAGTGACACGCGCCAGCTGTACGCCAAGAAAATTGCCTGCCCACACGGTCTGGAAATAGGATTGACCTGCAAACCGCGAGCCTGCAGTCGTTCAAGGTCGGCTTACGTGCTCCGGAGGCACAATGTTAGCCCGGATACTACGTCAGAAATGACGTGGAAAAGCATGCGCCTGACCAACCCGTGTTGTCGCTCGTGTATGCAGGTGGACATGGCGCGGCTCGCGCTGGTCCGGAAGCGGCGAGAGGAGGCGGAGGCGCGGAAGGCGGAGGAGGCGGCAGCCGAGGGAGCTTCGGGTAAAGCCAAGATGGAGAAGGAAGCCAGAGCCAAGGCGGGCAGCGGCGGTCCCCAGAAGCTCAACCCTCTAGAGGTACAAAGACGGCAGTGCGTACTTGATTAAGCCTGCACTGGTTTCGCACTGTTGGTGTGCGATACTCTTGATACGAATGTGTACCACATTGCGAATGCGTTCGATGTGTGTGGTTTCTGGTTGTTTGACGCTTTCGTCTAGGCAGTTTTTCGTTTTGTTTGGTCGTTGACAACTCGTTGTTGCAGTGTTGTGTTTGTCATCGTCCGGACATCTCTACTCAATACCTCCTAACGTTGTCAATATCTTCGATCAGTGACATCTCGTCATTGTTGCATTTGCTGTGTTTGTTGTTGTCCCTACATATCTGCTCGATTGTACCTTCTATGGAACAACCATACCGGATCGACTGGTATGGATACCTTACGGTTAGGGTTGGTGTATGTGACTATTATGTTATACGTGACAACAACACGCAGGTGAAGAAGATGAACCCGACTCGGCTAAAGGAGCTGCTCAAGGAACGAGACGAGAGCCTGCAAGGCAGCAAGAAGGACCTAATTGCAAGGCTTTTGGCGTGGGAGAAGACAAACCAGTCTTGATCTGAAAATAGTTTGACGGGAACGTGAAAGTCTGGGAGCTCATGTGTTCTAGATTATTCTGAACCTAGGCTTGTAGGAAGGTTACTAAGAGGTTGTCCTCGTGTGCTAGGTGTCTACTCGCTTTGAGATCGTCCATTTTTCCGAAAAGCTCATGCTGTTGCCTGCCCTCTTGTTCGCGCACCCTCTCCGAGGAGGCGTCTGCACTCTAACCGTGGGTCAACTTATCGTTCCCATTGATTGTTGGCTAGAGAGGGGTGTGGAACCAGGGCAACCATGGTCTTCTTCGCGCTTGTTTGTTGTCCGCGGACTACTACTTTTCGAGGTAGCGGGATAGTGCCCCTCGAGTGATTGGTCCCGTGAGACGCACGCCGGTAGCAGGAGTGCTCCCTGCTGCGGTTAGCGTAAGCTTTGGATGTTTGGTAGCTGCCGTTCGAGGTACGTTCATCGATTAGCATGGCGATTAGAAATTTCACGTTAGTTGCCAGTGAAGAGGGGGGGAATGGTGAAGAGGGACATGATATTTTTTACATGTTTTGTGTTTCCAAGCCGAGCGGACTTGTTTGTTCTGTGATGGAAAGTCACGTCTTAATTGGCCACTACTGCTGTCAGAGAGTGTATTTGCCCATATGGTGCTAACTTCTTGGAGAATAAGAGCCACGTCGAAAGCGAATTGCTCAGCCGATGGAGCCGCAAAAGCCGCNTGCTCCTCTTCACTGCTGCTGCACCAGCAGTGGGGGTCCCTCTATAGTGCAGTGGTTGCCAGTGAAGAGAGGGGGAATGGTGAAGGGGGACATGATATTTTTTACATGTTTTGTGTTTCCAAGCCGAGCGGACTTGTTTGGTCTGTGATGGAAAGTCACGTCTTAATTGGCCACTACTGCTGTCAGAGAGTGTATTTGCCCATATGGTGCTAACTTCTTGGAGAACAAGAGCCACGTCGAAAGCGAAGTGCTCAGCCGATGGAGCCGCAAAAGCCGCGTTGGTTAGCTTTTTGGTCCTCCAGCTGCTTTGGCTTGGGATCGTGTTGTCTTGTTGCCTGCCGCGCCCTTGCCTGTCGTGGTCGGTTGCTGTCACGCCGACGGCATCGTTAGCTGTTACGGTCATTTTGGCGACCGAGCGTAAGGAACGCTCGCGACCGGTCTACCGCAATGGACTTTCGTAGCACATACAGCAGTATATATACTGGTCCCAGCCTCAGCCCTGCCCATACGTGTTGCTCGGAGCACCTCAAGCGGGACCGATGGTGACTTCCCGTAGGAAGATGCATACCCCAGTTGTTCTGGGTCCAGCGACGGAGGAGACTAGACTTTGGAGTCAGCGACGAAACCAAAACACGGCACCAAAACATACATACTTATCAACAAAACGTAGCCGACGCCGCCCCAGTAGTAGTCGTCCAGCACGACTCCGAGAGTAATGCGCTCGATAGAGCAGTGACAACGACGTGCGGGGGTATGTACTCTCTCAGACCAGCATTGCTTTTCCTTGAGATTGGCGGAGAAAGATTNCGTTGGTTAGCTTTTTGGTCCTCCAGCTGCTTTGGCTTGGGATCATGTTGCCTTGTTGCCTGCCGCGCCCTTGCCTGTCGTGGTCAGTTGCTGTCACGTCGACGGCATCGTTAGTTGTTACGGTCATTTTGGCGACCGAGCATAAGAAACGCTCGCGGCCGGTCTACCGCAGTGGACTTTCGTAGCACACACAGCAGTATATTGGTCCCAGCCTCAGCCCTGCCCATACGTGTTGCTCGGAGCACCTCAAGCGGGACCGATGGTGACTTCCCGTAGGAAGATGCATACCCCAGTTGTTCTGGGTCCAGCGACGGAGGAGACTAGACTTTGGAGTCAGCGACGAAACCAAAACACGGCACCAAAACACGGCACCAAAACATACATACTTATCAACAAAACGTAGCCGACGCCGCCCCAGTAGTAGTCGTCCAGCACGAATCCGAGAGTAATGCGCTCGATAGAGCAGTGACAACGACGTGCGGGGGTATGTACTCTCTCAGACCAGCATTGCTTCTCCTTGAGATTGGCGGANGGTGACTTCCCGTAGGAAGATGCATACCCCAGTTGTTCTGGGTCCAGCGACGGAGGAGACTAGACTTTGGAGTCAGCGACGAAACCAAAACACGGCACCAAAACATACATACTTATCAACAAAACGTAGCCGACGCCGCCCCAGTAGTAGTCGTCCAGCACGACTCCGAGAGTAATGCGCTCGATAGAGCAGTGACAACGACGTGCGGGGGTATGTACTCTCTCAGACCAGCATTGCTTTTCCTTGAGATTGGCGGAGAAAGATCCGGACCAAACGAAACCAACTGCACGCAGGAGATCTGTCGCAAAGCCACCGCTCTCACCAGCGCCGGCCCAAACGTTCACTGGCTCCTCGATACGTGATCGTTGAGGACGACACACTTCCAACTCTACCCGCTGGCTGACGTCAAGCATCGGCCAAGCAACGCCAATCAAATCAGTGGCCTGGTTAAACCGCTGCCTGCAAAATCACCGCGAATCCACGACATCCATCGCCGTGCCTCCACACTCGTCCTCCTGTTGCCTCACTGCGCTTGAAAAGTAGCCACCAATTATTATCGGNGACGACACACTTCCAACTCTACCCGCTGGCTGACGTCAAGCATCGGCCAAGCAACGCCAATCAAATCAGTGGCCTGGTTAAACCGCTGCCTGCAAAATCACCGCGAATCCACGACATCCATCGCCGTGCCTCCACACTCGTCCTCCTGTTGCCTCACTGCGCTTGAAAAGTAGCCACCACTTATTCTCGGCGGTGCCCGAGTACCCCCCCCAAGTGACGCCTCCTTCTTTGCTATCCACATCGCGTTGCCAGGTATTGCGCCTGCCTCCCCATTCCCGCTTTTGCTCCCGGAACTGGCGAAACGTGGTGTAGCCCGTGCCGATTCGTTTATGTCGTCAGCAGTGGAACACGCAACAAACGCCACAGGGTAGGCCATGCCTTGTTCCCCTCGAAGGTGGCGATTCTGGTTTGGTGAGGACCCAACGGGGCGCCCNTCGGCGGTGCCCGAGTACCCCCCCCAAGTGACGCCTCCTTCTTTGCTATCCACTGGCTCCCGGAACTGGCGAAACGTGGTGTAGCCCGTGCCGATTCGTTTATGTCGTCAGCAGTGGAACACGCAACAAACGCCACAGGGTAGGCCATGCCTTGTTCCCCTCGAAGGTGGCGATTCTGGTTTGGTGAGGACCCAACGGGGCGCCCCCATGGCTGCGGCTTGCCGGCAACGAAATCGCGAAGCCCCTGAAACAAGTGGAGTCAGAGAAGAATTGGACTTCCATTCCGAGTACTTGACTGCAANGCCGGCAACGAAATCGCGAAGCCCCTGAAACAAGTGGAGTCAGAGAAGAACTGGACTTCCATTCCGAGTACTTGACTGCAGTAGCCGGGGGCAGCCTCGGACCTCGTCTGAAGCCTTTCCCCCGGCGAGAAGGGAGCCTAGCTTCAAGGCATGAATAGTTCATATTTTCTGTATCGTTGACAAGTAGAACGCTGGAGTTGGTGTTGCTGCCGATTGGGACGCAGGGGTCTGGGTGTGGGGTCCCCATCGCACTATACCTGAAGCAGGGTTCGCGCGACGAAGGTCTTCGTGCTCACGGAACTCCAAACGCCGGTCGTCAAGAAAGGGACCTGCAGCATCCCGTCTTCTCTAACGAACGAGCAAGTCCTGCTGAAGCACCTGATGTAGAAAGTGTTGAAGGTGACACGTTTCGCGACCCGACTCAAGTGTCGCACGGAAACTGCAGCAGCAGCCAATCGAATACTGCGGTCGTTTCTCACTGCGCATGCTCAGAGACCCCCCGCGGGTTCCGGGTTCATATGTTTGCCACCAAATGGACCTCCATGTGATCCAGACACTAGAAACGATGTAAACTACCGAACATGTGTGAGGATCCCCAAGGTCTGTGTTGATGCCTTCGCAGCGGAGCTTCAGTTTGCCTACAGGAAACCGGCGTGCGTGAGAGGTGCTCACACGGAAGGCTCCATTTTCTGATGTATCCTACATATTAAGTAACAAGATTATAGTAGATTCTTGCACTTTTCACTCAACAAACACGGNGAGAGGTGCTCACACGGAAGGCTCCATTTTCTGATGTATCCTACATATTAGGAAACAAGATTATAGTAGATTCTTGCACTTTNCGTGAGAGGTGCTCACACGGAAGGCTCCATTTTCTGATGTATCCTACATACTAAGTAACAAGATTATAGTAGATTCTTGCACTTTTCACTCAGCAAACACGAAAGGCAAAAACTAGAGGGTAGATGGAACTTGTTTGAAAACGAGAAGCTTCACACCTCTCAGCGTACACGAGCGGTGGGTCGTGAGGGTAAAACTTCGGTACGACGACTGAGAAGGTGGTCGGAACCCTTCGTTCTCCAGCTGCCGCCGGTGTGTCCCCCGCCACACCTGACGGTGCTGCCCCCTGCCCCGGATCCCCCCCCATGCCCCCCTCTATCGGGCATAAGAAAGTAAGCTGACATTTGAGAGGATTCCCAGCCGCTTTATCGAACCTGTCGCACAGTGTGAAGCTTGAGGGCTTGAGTGTGATGTGAAGACGAAACCAAGTTTTGAGCGCTAGCTCGATGGCCTTCTTACATGGCCAGCATTCGTAAGGGTGCGCCCCACGCGTCATTCCACGTTCTCTACACAGCAGGTCAAGAGCCGTACACGAATGGCATGCAATTTTCCCTAAGCCAATCTTTGGTGGCACCTTGCCCCGATTTCCACCGGGAAGGCGGGAGGCATCCAAGTGCAGGCGGCGAAACGTACGAAGATACACGATGACGTGCGTACCTCATCGTCTGACACGGGAGGCCATCTTAGGGAGACGGCATCTCACTGCCGCCATGCTCGAGCCGGCCGTGATTTCAATTGGCGCGATTGTCGTGGACATGACACCCGGATACGATGGCGTTACTGGTACAAGTTTACGAACTACGACCGACGGGAGGGCGGTTCGCAAACACTGCGCTGAAGAGTTGGTTTTCAGGTATGCACAAGCAACGTGGGCGTTTCTGCGTTCTGGCAAAGTACGAACAGCGGAACTCGCAATGTTTTAGATGCACAATCGGGGAGGTGTGATGCACCAGCGAAACGTCTTTCATCCACAGTCTGCGGGAGGGCGAAAAACAAACATGGTACGTGCTCTACACGACGTGTATGAACACAGCAGTGCAGCTCAGTATGAAACCAACCTTTGTGCATGCTCCCCGCCCTCTAACCGGCTACGATACGCCTCCCGCAGGGTTTCCAGGGCCCGTCCGTCCCGGTTTTCGTCTGGAAGCGATGTGCTGGGATGAAAAAAACTATTTCTCCAACAACAGGAGTACACCATGCTCCTCCCCTAAGCGTCAATGCACCTTGCAATTCCTGTAGAAGCAGGTCGCACTCCACAAGGTCTCTCTTCAACCTCAGCTCTCCCGGGGTGAAGCTGTGTACGATATTCAGCAAGTACACAAATGAACAAGGCATAGGCGCATACGGTCGCCGAAGCCAGCGGCCTCATCGGGGGCAACGTTGTTGATGCATTACAAAACACACAAAGGTCCGACCAGGGGAAACCGCGGACCAGTAAGCATTCCTGTCGTTTCGCACGCACTTCTGTTCTCTTCGGTTAACCATCGAGCGTAGTCGGCACATCAAATCCAAACGCATCCACCTATGGCATGCATATTTTCTTTGGTCAACCCAATAGCCCGGTCAACGCAAATACGAGACACCCGCACTCACTAGGACGAGGTTCGAGTTTGACGCAAGATTTGTGAACAGGCAGAAGGTAGACCACTTGGTGAATCATGCTATGCATACCATGCGCTAGAAACATCTCGTCAAGGTCCTCGACAGACTCTCATGAATCCAGATAGCTCGTTAAGGAGTTTTGGGCGCCTAGAAACCGGTCGCAACCCCAACAATCACGGGCTAGCGGAAATGGTATGTGAACCCGCATTGCCCCCCCCCCCGACTGACCTGACTCGACACTTCTTGACGTGCGCAGCGAATGCTTCCGTCGGGTCTTCGGGTACAGAAAAAGGGCGTTTCGTTGCATGACTCGTGCTCGGCGATGGCGAGAGTCGCCGCGGAGAGGCAACCGGCGCCATTGCCGCGTTCATGGCGGTGTCGTACATGGTCTTCCCAACGGCGGCGGAATTTTCGTATGGCGGCGAAAGTTTCGATTTCGGTTCCTCCTTTCTTCCGAGGGTTGGAAGAGGTTGCCATCGTGAAGGTGAGCATTCTCAATTGCGGTTGCTTTACTCACGTCTCATATTTGCCTTGAACAGCTCTGTAGAACGGTAGTGTCCAAAGGATGTTTTCTCCTACAGCACGAAACAAAAGATATTCAGCGCCCCGAACTCGGCAGTAGTGGCAGCAGCGGCAGGCCATGACAGGAAGGCAAGTGTCTGCGCGTAGCTCCGCAACTCGTCCGACAGAATATCTACTTCAAGTACTGTAACTACGATGCAGCAGTACGCACAAGGTCTGGTAGACTGGTCTGCGTCTCGGTCCGAGGGCGCCTACCAAGATGCACGCGGAGAAACATTACTACTCCACCCGCTTGAGAGCTGGTATGTAGTAGCAGCAGTGTAAAGATAAAGATTGAGCCTAAAAAAATCCAAAATCTAAAAACTTGGCCATTACAACAGGTGCTCAGCCATGGATCCTAAACTAAAACCTATATAGTCGCCTTGGGGTACCCCACTAAAGCCAAACAAAGAAACGAGCCTCGGCCAAATAAGAGTGAGTGAGTGGGTGCCGCGTTCTGTATGCAGCTGTGCGTGATGCGTAGTACTGCTGTTTTTCGCAGGGAGAGAAGGCACAGGTATTGCGGCGTGCACGGACGACATGCAGATGGTATGCATGCGTTCAATGTGGGTGGGGCGGGTGGGGGGCCTCAGGAAGAGGAACCCAACTTTCCATACAGTACCCGGCAGAAAATGCTCTTGGCGCTCACCCAAGTGATACTAATGTTGTCTGGACGTCGGTTCGACACCTTTCGGTAATTCTGGACGCACTAGCCGGGGTCGCACAGGAAGAAGGCCACGCACAAGTGATACTCTCCGCCTTCGTTCTGCGGTGCTTGACTCTGAGTTTATTCGTGAGAAGATCAGCTGTCCCATTCTCGTCGACATCAGCACATATGTCGAGCACCAGTGAAGTACTTGCGGCGTGCCCATGAAAAAATCGCTCCACATTGTTTGGGCATGTTACGCAGAAAACATTCCAATTCGTGTTGAAGCAGCGAGATTCAAACGCACGTCCAACGTCAGAAGGTTGCGAGGGAACCCACTGCACTGCTGTGTCACCAAGCTAGTAAATGGGTGGCATGCACACAAGCAAAATCTCACACTTGCAAATAATACTTGTATAATAATACTTGTATTGTACACTACAGCAGTACAAGTCCTGTTATCGAGTTGAAGTTTCGCATGTATTAGAACAAGTGGAAATTCCAGCTCACCAGCTCACCGTACGCGCGCTGGCCAGAGCTCCAAGCGAGTGGTGGACTATACTTGCGGCCAGTTATCTCGGGGTCAGCCTCAAGCCCTGCTGCACGCGCGCACCGTTTGCTCCTCCGTCCGTACTGGTGCCGAACTGCTGTGCGAAACTCGCCGACCTGCCGAGCAGCGTGGTTTGAGAGGAAATATGGGGGGATCGCCAATGGGGATGGATAGAGTAGGCGGGGGGGGGGG